GGGTCCTGTTGACAATGGGCTATCGGTCCAGAGACTGAGCCAATAGTTAGAAGCCAGGGTGGCAACAAGAAGGTGAGTCCTGGTACGCAGACAGCTTGACCTTCCCTACCTAAGTCTCATCTGCCCCCATCAGCTTCCAGCCCTTTATTTCTTGGCCCCAGATTTCTGCAGCCCGGCTGTGCTTCTGTGGTGCCTGCAGATTTTTTTTTTTTTTAAAGAAAATCACTTAGGCTTCAGAGTAGAGGAAGGCTTACAGGAAAGCAAGGACAGTTTCTGGTCTGTTGTAGTTTTCCAGGCAAGAAATAATGGTGGCTTGGATTACAGTGGTGGCCCTGGTGGATACAGAGATGGGAAATTAGGGAGGTTCGTGAAGGATTAGGTCCTCAGGGTTACTCTATAAAAATGGAAACATACCAGAGAATATAACATATAAAACTTTTTTTGCCAACATATTTGTTGGAGATTGGGAGGAAAAGATATTGTGGATGCTGTGGCTTGGCTCACCCAACTTTGAACTCTGCTTCCATCTAATGTGCAGAGGGTAGAACGATCAAAATTGCATTTGCTAGCCTTCCTTGCAGTTAGATTGGCAGATGTAGTTTGGCATGTACCAATCAGATGCACTTAAGCAAGAAATGAATTTGGGAATAAGGTAATAGGAGAGAGAAGCAGGATTTGAGGCATATATTTTGCTGGTGTGGCTTGTAACAGAAAGGGTACAGTTCTGGCAGTTCTGCCAAATCTTTATGATTTGACAGGCAGACTTTGGACAATGACAGGAGCAGCAGCAACTGGCAGTCTAGTTTGGCAGTGCCTGGCACATAAATGCTTAAAACATGTTGGCTGTTATTATTATACTTGGGGTTTATGGCAGATAATAATATAGGATGTCTATGTAATATAGAGATGGTAATTAAGGGATAATGATATGCTTATCCTGACTTCTTTATTTTTTTTCCAAAGGTGGTGTAAGCGTTCTTTGTTAGTTTTTTTCAACATCATGTCATGCCATTTGTTTTATCCATCATCAAAATATTTATAGTGTCAAAGCAAAATTACATCAGACAATATTAAACAAGCAAGGGAGATGATATTTAAGGCCATCGCAGTACAGGGAAGAAGACAGAACTGAATGTGAGTTCAACTCTGTTGAGATAAGAGGTGGTGGGTTTAAGAATCAGGGTAAGATGGACATGACAGGCATCTGTGTTTGCTAGTTGGTATCACAACTGGAGGCAAGGTGCTCACTGAGGTGAGGTTCCTACCCTGCCACAGGAAATGGGGGATAGAAACTCTCATCCTTGATTACAATTTGAAGAGATGGCTCCCAGGTCCTTAAGAAAGACATCCCTGGGTTGTAAAACTAGCAGAAGGCTTTTCAAAAATTATATCTCAGAGGATTAGAGAAAGGACTTAACATTGCAATTTTCTAAAGTAAATGCTCTAAAAGACAGGAGGTGGGGGAAGGGGTCTATAGTCAGGAAGAAGCCTGTCTGAAGTTTAGTCAGATGAGGAGTATGTTATGGCTCTCTCAATCCCCAGTCATGGCTGGAAATACAAACTTGGCTGTATTAAAAATAGCAACTCAAATTTCTTAGCTTTTTGCACTCATCTGCACATTTGTGGACATCAAGTTCTCCTTGAAACAACTTGAAAGTTTTTTCTTTTTAAATAGTTTTTTGTTTCCTACATGAGCATAGATTCTACAAAACCCCTTATACACACACACACACACACACACACACACTTTCTCTATCCACTCATGAATTGATGGGCACTTAGGTTGATTCCATGTCTTTGCAATTGTGAATTGTGCTGTGATAAACATTAAAGTGCAGGTATCTTTTTGATAAAATGACTTCTTTTCCTTTGGGTAGATATCCAGTAGTGGGATTGCTGGGTAGAATGGTAAGTCTACATTTATCTGTTTGAGGAATATCCATATTATTTTCTATAGAGGTTGTACTAATTTGCAGTTCCACCAATAGTGTATAAGCATTCCTTTCTCTCTGCATCCATGCCAGCATCTATTGTTTTTTTACTTTTTAATAATGGCCATTCTGAAAGGGTAAGGTGGTATCTCATTGTGGTTTTAATTTGCATTTTCCTGATGATTAGTGATGCTGAACCTTTTTCATATGTTTGTTGGGCATTTGTCTATCTTCTTTTGAAAAACTTCTGTTTATGTCTTTTGCCCACTTTTTGATGGGGTTGTTTTTTTCTTGCTGAATTGTTTGGGTTCTTTGTAGATTCTGGATATTATCAGATATACCATTTGTGAATATTTTCTCCCATTCTGTAGGCTGTCTGTTTATTCTGTTGATTATTTCCTTTGCTGTGTTGAAGCTTTTTAATTTAATCAAGTCCCATGGATTTATTTTTGTTTTTGTTGTATTTGCCTTTGGGGTCTTAGTCGTGAATTCTTTGACTATGCCAATGTCTAGGAAAACATTTTTCCTACATTTTTGTCTAGAATTTTTATGGTTTCAAGCCTTACATTTAAGTCTTTTATCCATTTTGAAATAGTTTTTGTATATGGCAAGAGATAGAGGTCCTGTTTTATTCTTCTACCTGTGGCTATCCAGTTTTTCCAGCACCATTTATTGAATGGGGCTTCTTTCCTCAGTGTATATTGTTGCCTTGTTTGTTAAAGATCAGTTGGTTATAGGTAGGTCTTATTTCTGGGTTCTCTATTCTGTTCCATCACTCACCCTGACTTCTGAGGTAGTTCCGTTCTGAAGGAAATATTGTTTCATGGTTTAACGTATATGACATTATTGTCCTTAAACCCCTATTATGTTCCTTTTTATAAGTAGTCTGAGCTCCCACAGTGTAAAATGCTAAAAATAAAAAACCAAAAACCTGCTTCTGTCAAATGCTTGGGAGCAAGCTAACCTGTTGGAACTAAAAATGAGCAATCTTCTTCTAGAAAAGCCCAGAAATTTTAAACATCTGATGAAAAATGACTCAGAATGATTTGTGACCTTCAGTTGCACAGAGAGTATTCACTTAAACTAAGCAGAAGCTGTATCTGAAACAGGAAAAGTAACAATGTTACAACTTCCTCTACAAGGATAACTTTACTGTAATAAAGAAGAATTTTTGATCAAAAGTTAAAAATGTCAACAAAGACACGCAGGAAGTGACACTCTGCTCCTAATTCCAAAATAAGTTCTCCTCTGAATACACTTTTGGTACCTCTCTTAGGACATTTTCCATTTTTTAGCTTGTGTTGTAGCTATTTATGTCCATGTCTGATCTGCTCAATATAGAAAACTATAAAAGCACTGAAGGCAGAGACACCCACTGATTCATTTTTATTCACTTTAAAAGTGCTTGCTAAGAATGGTCTCTTATAAAAGGAGGCAGTTGATCTATATTTAATGAAGGAATTGGTGAATTCTTGAGCAATCCTTGCCTTGAGCTCACTAACACTTGTGAATGAATGCTTACAAGGTGTTCATAGGCAACTAAATATCTCCATTCATTTTCCGGACAAAAATGAAAGAGGAAGATGAGTCCGAATATACAGGGTGGGGAGAGTGGCAACACTGCTTTAGACAAGTGTTTTCTCCACCTCCTGTAGGTGGTGGACATGGCAAAAGATGGCTGTCTAAAAGGGTTGGAGATGCAGCTTCTGACCCTCATAGGCCGTATGGTTACTGTCAAGATGCTGGAACTCTCTGGGCCTTAGTTTCCCATCCCTCTATAAAAGGGCTTGATGAGTTGATGAACTATAGCTCCTCCTCACTTACAATCATTCCAGAAGATCGAAGCTATTAGGAATCTTAAAGGTCACATAGCCCTAGGATGGCAACTCAGCATCAAATTGCATGCTGATCCTGGTCTATCAGTAGCAGCTTCCTGAAGCACTGTGCTGAGAAGGATTCTGAGGCCCTATTTGGGCTCAGTAGAAAAGACAGCCTTGACTTATAGTAATAATGATGTCTGCCCTGAGGCAGAGGGGAGTGGAAACAAATAAGTCAAGATACGTCATCCCTGATCTAGCCCAGTGCCTTCCCGTCACAGGAAGAAAATGAGACCAGAAGCTCATGTTTTGAGCTTACCATGTGCCAGGCACTGTGCAAATTGCTTTTACATGCAAACTTGTATTTAATCCTTAAACAACTTAAAAAAGTTAGCATTCTTATGATTCCTGTTTTATAGAGGAGGTTTAAGGAAGCAAAATTTGCCTGAGGTTCACACTCCAGAAAACCATATCCTTGAGAACTTCCTTCCCTATACTGACTCCTAATCTGCAGGCACTTACTATGTGTTACACCAACAGTTCTCAGGTAGAGGCGATTTCGCCCCCCAGAGGACTTTTGGCAAAAGACTGGAGACATTTTGGTTGTTAAAACCAAATGGTTTTGACATTTGGACAGGCTGTTCATCGCATCTAGTAAATAGAGGCCAGGAACGCTGCTAAATGCAGAGGGAAGCACCCTATCCTCTCCCACACCTCCAGCAGCAAAATATTAATAGTGTTGAGGGTGAGAACTCTGTGCTAGGCTACGTGGTAGTTGTTTGCAAACAGATGATCAAACTCTGTAGCCCAGTAGGCACAATAACAATCTCCATTTTACAGACAAGGAAAGGTGTTCTCAGAATGAGGAAGTGGTCACAACAAGACAGGAACCCAGGTAGTCTTGATTTTAGAGGTCCCCAAAGTTCCCTGCTACTACACTCCATTAGGATCAGCTTCCTTTACTATCAAAACATGCAAACTGAAGTAGCACCTGCTTACTGTTTTGAGATTTCATAAGCCAACCGTAAAAAATTCCCACTGTGGTGGGTGTGTCTGCAAAAATAAGTATTTGTTCCACAGTTCAAAGAAGAGGGTCTCTAGAAACTCTTACTATGGAACCACTGATCTTTCTCTAGTAGGCATTCAGATGATTTCTTTAAAATAAAACTGCAGGAGAAAGCTAATTTTAGAACATTAACCAGCTAGCTCTGCGTGGGTTTCAACTTTCATTTTTTTTTTCTTTTGATTTTAGGAGCTGGAGAGCCTGGAAGCTTATTTAGAAGAGGAAATGAAACTATGAAAAGACACAGTAGATTCCTCTTTTTCTTGGAGGCAAGGCTTGATCTGAATATGAATAACTCTCCCACCCTGTTCAATTAACCGCCTCAAGAACAAATAGAGAAAATATACACACTCTATTTTGATTTGGAAGAAATCGAAGAAAAAGCCAAGAGTTGGATGCTAGTTTAAACAATAACGGCCTATGCAAGTAATTTCGTTTCGGATAAGGCTTGTTCCTTAAAGAAAAACCAATGCTCACGAAGCAGTGAGGGTGAAGGTGGAGAGGGGGAAAAGAAAAAAAGAAAATAGCTTGAATGAGTAAGGGGACGGGGAGGGGAGGACAGAGCAAGCTGCTCTCTGAGAGGAATTACTGAAAAATGGAAGGAGGTTTGGGAAAACAAAGTCTGAGCTGCCCAGGCAACCTGGGCTGGGCGTGGGCACGGTGCCTCCCTGAATTCCGAATGAACGGCCCGCATGCCCGCCAGACACGTTCGTCCATCTGGTGCTCGCGGGTGTTGGGAGGTGATTTAAGAACCGCGGAGTCATTCGATTTCAAATCTTCTCCAATGAGGTTGTCCGTGTGCCGACGCCGGCCGCACGGCGGTGGGCTAGCTCTGCAGCATCTCCGGATCCTCCCGCCCTAGCCTGCCAGCCCCAAAACAGACAGCCCCAGACATTCCGCGACGGGGATGGTTCCAGAAAGCAAAGGTCTGAGCGTGATGAATGAAATGTGACTATATAGAATAGCTCCAGAAAGAGCCTAAGGATCAGTTTGGAAACTGGAAATGCGTTGAGTGCTGCAGGTGGCGGCTGGCACTGGGATTGGGGCCGAGCCTATCGAGCCACACGCGTTGCCTGGCTCGGTGAGGTCGTCGGGGAGGTGAAATGCCTCGCATTTGCTATTCTCCATGCCGGGACGCTGTTCGCAAGACTAGGGTGTGGCAGCCCCTTTTCCAGTCTCAGGAATGTGCGTAAAAGCCACCTCCGCCTGGAGGCCCTCGAGGAGAGCTGATATCACACACATCGCCACTTTAGGAAGCTCTGCTTAGCCCCAATCTCAGTACCAGTAGTGCATCGTCATTTCTTGTTTGTTTAGATATGTGTGTTCTCTTCTCTGTTTATTGTCGTCTCCCCACCAAAATGGTAAGCTAGGTGAGCATGCACGACCACAACTGCTCCTGGCGCACAGCAGGCGCTCACTAAATGCTCATTCCCTCCCCACCCCGCCACCTGCTGCACTCGACGCCTATGCGGGGTGCAAATTGAGCCCCGACGATCAGCTGCTTACTGAATTCCTGCTAGGATCAAAGCAGGCCGCGGAGCGAGCCGGCACGAATCGGGACGACCGCCTCCGGGCCCCGCGCCCACACCGACTCTGTCTCCGTCATCCCGAGCCTACAGTCCTCCCTCGCCAGGGATTTCCTCCGTGCCCGACCCCTTAGCCTCAGCCTGACTTCCTCAAGAGGTCAGGTTCCCTTCTCCCGTTCGACCGCAGGTGTCCGCTAGAACCTTCTCCCTAAACCAGCCCCTCCCGCGCCACCCTTACTTCTTCCTTCCCCGGCCCGGAAGCGCCACTCGGCGGACATCTACTGAGCGTCCGCGGCGCGCAGGCACCGGGCAGGGCCGCCGAGGGCCCCTCCCCAGCCCGCTCGCGGCTCCCGCCGCCCTCCGGCCCCCGCGCCCGTCGGGATCCCAGGGTCCCAACTCTCCCACTGCGTCACGGAATCCGCCAGCGGCTTCCACGGGATCGCCCCACCCCCTTCTCCAGAGGCGACTCCTGATTGGTGGGAGCGTGGGTCACTCTGCCTTCGCTCCCGCCCTCCCCGCGTGGCCCCGCCCCCAGGCGGACGGAGGCCCCTCCTCCCCCAGGCTCCCGCCCCCGGCCCCGCTGCTCTGGCTAATCGCCGGGCGGCGCGCGTCGGGAAGTTCTGGGCAAAGTGCGGGGAACTGTCCGCGCGATCGCAGCGCCGGCGGGCGGACCCGGCGAGCCGACCCGGGCGCGAGGCGGCCGGTGCGCGGCGCGGGCTCCGGCCCCGCAGTCGGTCCGCGAGTGGCCGTCCCCTCTCCCGACTCCTGCGGCTGGTGCGGGAGCTGCCAGCGGCGCGCTGAGGGGGATCGGAGCAGCGGGGTTTGCCTTCTCCTCCGGTCCGTGCGCGAGCCCCGGAGCCCGGCCCCGGGGAGCCAGGCGCGTCCCTGGAGGCAGAGCGCTCAGGTAAGCGGCGGGCGCCGTCTGAATGGTGCCTGGGCGTGGCGGGGCCCGCCGGCGGCGCGGGCTCGGAGGGCTGCAGTTTTGGGGAACGCCGCCAGTCTCCGCAGGACCGAGGCTGCCTCCTGTCGCCGGGAGAAGAGCCGGCCGGTGGGGCAGCCCCAAGCCGGGGAGATCGCCCTCCGTGCTGGCTCCAGTCCCCAGGGAGGGAGGACCCAGGTGCTCCCAGCCTAGGGCTGCATCCTTCGAGGGTCAGCTCGGCCAGGGCTGACGGCCAGAGGGAGCCGAGCGCAGGGGCCTGGGTGCGGGCGCGGCAGGATGCGGCGCGGAGGGGCTGTCCTGGGCGGCGGGAGGCGCAGCGCCGAGGCGGGAGGCACAGGAAACCTGTCTAATTGGGCCGAGCGGGAGGCTTCACCACATCCGCGGGACGGGGCTCGCCGGGGAGACCCGGCAATGCTCCGCGGTGCAGCCGCCCCGCTCGCACGCCTTCCCCCCGCGACCTGCCCAGCTCCCGGGTGCCAGGCTGGGTGCCAAGGCACTCGCCCCTTCGGGCTTCCCGGCGCCTGGGGAGTGTTGGCAGCCTCTGGAGCCGCTGATGGGCTCTGTCGTAAGTCGTCCAGATACTCTAAGCTGGGACGCGTCGCCCTCCTTCGGCAACTTCCTAGCTGCCTTCTGCACACTTGTACTCATCCTCTTTCACCTCCCAAGCCACCGGTCTTCTCCGTCAGGACTCTGTGAAGTTGTCACTTTCCATGTGTCTGGATACTGCCCTGAGGCACTTGAGACCCCCCAGATGTTGCACTGACGCTCAGTTTGAGTGGTGGGATAGGGGCATTTAGAAATACTTTAAAGGACAGCTGCAAAAGAGATACTTGCACAAACAAGTAAAAGCGCAGGCCTGGCTTCTGATCATCCGCACTGTATCCCCCCCCCAGCATCACACAAGGTGAGGTCCCCCTTCTGGCCAAAGGACACCAGTCAAGCAGGCCTGGGCCGAAATGCGTCAAGCTAAATGACCATCCCCTCCACCAACTCTGCACAGGTCTGTTTCCTGTTCCTCATGGGACTTCTCTCTCTCTCTGAAATCATCTCTTTGGGTTATTAGGTTATCTGCCTTCCCCCACTAGAATGTAAGTTCCAGGAAAGCAGAGACCTTATCTGTCTCATCAATCACTTGACCCTCAATGGTAAGAACACACAGTAGTTTTGCAGTAAACATTTATGGAATGAATAAATGAAAATTTCGCTGTAAATGTGAGCAATGGTGATTTGATAGCAATTTTTTAAAAAATAGAGATGGTATCTCACCCTGTTGCCCAGGGTGGAGTACAGTAGCTGGATCATAGCTCACTGCAGCCTCCAATTCCTGAGCTCAAGGGATCCTCCCACCTCAGCCTCCTGAGTAGCTGGGACTACAGTGCCACAATGCCTGATTATTTTATTTTTTGTAGAGACCAGTTCTTCCTATGTTGTCCAGGCTAGCCTTGAACTCCTGGCCCCAAGTGATCCTCCCACCTCGGCCTCCCAAAGTGCATAGCTCATTTTGATTTTCACTTTTATCCTTTTTTTTTTTTTTTGACAGAGTCTTGCTTTGTTGCCTAGGCTAGAGTGAGTGCCGTGGCGTCAGCCTAGCTCACAGCAACCTCAAACTCCTGGCTCAAGCGATCCTTCTGCCTCAGCCTCCCCAGTAGCTGAGACTACAGGCATGTACCACCATGCCCAGTTCATTTTTTCTAAATATATTAGTGGGCGAGTTAATGTCTTTCTATTTATAGTAGAGACAGGGTCTCACTCTTGCTCAGGCTGGTTTCGAACTCCTGACCTTGAGCAATCCACCTGCCTCGGCCTCCCAGAGTGCTAGGATTACAGGCGTGAGCCACTGCACCCGGTCCTTTTGTTTTTTTCTACTGAAAAAATTAATAAATAGCAATAACTACCGATTGAGCACCTAAATACCAAGATGTATACTAGGAACTTTATATAGATTGCCCCGTTAAACATTCCAGTAGTAGTCTTTTTAGCTAGGTAGTTTTAACCAGATGGGAAACTGAGGCTCCAGCAGGTTAACACATTTCCCAAGACTATCCTGGCAGAACTAGGATTCCAGCCCATTTTGTTTCTATTGTGCTGGGCCTCTTCCAAGAAACTAAAATGTAGTTTCTATCATTACAGTCAATAGACATTTAGATTTATTTGTATCAAAAGCTATTGCTTAGCTAAATGATTTGTGGTTTCATTATTTTGTTTTTTATTTTTTTGAGACAGAGTTTCACTCTGTAGTCCTGGGTAGAGTGCAGTGGCATCATTACAGCTCACTGCAACCTCAAACTCCTGGGCTTAAGCGATCCTCCTGCCTCAGCCTCCCAAGTAGCTGGGACTACAGGCACCTGCCACGATGCCTGGCTAATTTTTCTGTTTTTAGTAGAGATGGGATCTCGTTCTTGCTCAGGCTGGTCTCAAGCAGTCCTCCTGCCTCGGCCTCCCAGAGTGTTAGGATTACAGGTGTGAGCCACCTCACCCAGCCTTGTTTAATTTTTGAGCTATATTTTCAGTAATAGCTAATAGTTATGTTGCGGGCCAGATAATCCCAGACTGCCGAAGGCTGTATTAGCTCATTTAATTTTCACCATCTTGATAAACAGTGTTGTGAGGCTATCTCTGTTTTTCAGGTGAAGAAACAGAAGCCTAGGTCCAGGAACTTGCTCAGAGTGGCTAGTAAATTGCTGAGCTAGATTTTTGTAATAGTCTTTTTGACTGTAAATCTTAGCTCCTGCTACTACTCCGTAATGTTTCTTGTCCCACTATTTAATTAGATGTTGATTATTATGATAGACTCCAATGATGCAAACGTTAAAACCATGTGAGCTTGGGCTATAAACTTTCTGGGCCCATTGTCAAGTATCTAGTTGTACTGTTTTTGAATTCTTGAGACACTTACTGCCATTGATTTTTGTGG